ATCCCTCTTCTATCCGCCTCCCACTCTCTCCCTATTTATTTCAAAACCCCCTTCCCCTCCCCCTTTTCTGATGAAGGGTCTAGGCCCGAAACGTCAGCCTCTCTGCTCCTATGATGCTGCTTGGCCTGCTGTGTTCATCCAGCCTTGCACCTTGTTGTCTCGGATTCTCCAGCATCTGCAATTCCTACTATCTCTAAATTATTTGGTTATCTCTTTGCTGGTTGTGCAAGTTTGCAGTTTATAAATTGCATTTCTTTTTATTATTTATTCACAGGATGAGGGCATCATTGGCTAGGCCAGCATTTATTGCCCTTCCCTAATTTGCTCAGAGGGCAATTAAGAGTCAACTATATTTCTGTGGGTCTGGAGTCACATGTAGGCCAGACCAGGTAAAGATGGCAGTTTCCTTCCCTAAAAGACATTAACAAACCAGATGGGTTTTTCCCAACAGTCAACAATGGATTCATGATCATCATTAGACTCTTAATTCCAGATTCACATTGAATTCAAATTCCAGACGACACTAAGATTGGTGGAGTAGCAGATAGTGAAGGGGACTGTCGGAGAATGCAGCAGAATATAGATAGTTTGGACAGTTGGGTGGAGAAATTGCAGATGGAGTTCAATCCAGGCAAATGCGAGGTGACGCATTTTGGAAGATTCAATTCAAGAGCGAACTATACGGTAAATGGAAAAGCCCTGGGGAAAATTGATGCACAGAAAGATCTGGGTGTTCAGGTCCATTGTACCCTGAAGGTGGCAACGCAGGTGGATAGAGTGGTCAAGAAGGCATGCAGCATGCTTTCATTCATCAGACGGGGTATTGAGTACAAGAGTTGGCAGGTCATGTTACAGTTGTATAGGACTTTGGTTCGACCACATTTGGAATACTGCGTACAGTTCTGGTCGCCGCATTACCAAAAGGATGTGGATGCTTTGGAGAGGGTGCAGAGGAGGTTCACCAGGATGTTGCCTGGTATGGAGGGCACTAGCTATGAAGAGAGGTTGAGTAGATTAGGATTATTTACATTAGAAAGGCGGAGATTGAGGGGGGACCTGATTGAGGTCTGCAAAATCATGAGTGGTATATACAGGGTGGATAGCAAGAAACTTTTTCCCAAAGTGGGGGACTCAATTACTAGGGGTCACAATTTCAAGGTGAGAGGGGAAAAGTTTAAGGGAGATATGCGTGGCAAGTTCTTTACGCAGAGAGTGGTGGGTGCCTGGATGCGTTGCCAGCGGAGGTGGTAGAGGCGGGCACGATAGTGTCATTTAAGATGTATCTAGACAGATACATGAATGGGCAGGGAGCAGAGGGATATAGATCCTTGGAAAATAGGCAACAGGTTTAGACAGAGGATCTGGATCGGCGCAGGCTTGGAGGGCCGTAGGGCCTGTTCCTGTGCTGTAATTTTCTTTGTTCTTTGTTCCACCATCTGCCGTGCTGGGATTCAAACCCAGGTCCCCAGAACATCATCTGGGTCTCTGGATTAGCAGTCCAGTGATAATACCACGAGGCCATCACCTCCTTGCCAAGGTTCCTACACTTCAATAGTGACTACACTTCAAAAGTATTTCATTAACTGCGAAGCACTTTGCAATATTCTAAGGTTGTGAAAGGTACTACATAAGTGAAAGTATTTCTACCCTTTCCCACTTTCAATGTTTCCTGCCCACAGTTAGAATTGCTGTAGAAAAGCAAAACAAATTAGCCCAGCAATGAATATTGTAATTTTCTCGCAGACTTAAGTGAAAGACATTTGAGCCTATTCCTGGACGTTGCAAAATCTACAGCATAGAAACGGCCTATAATTCTGCAACGATTGATGAAGAAGACACAGGGACCATTTTGCAGCAAGAAGTTCACAATACATTAGATCATAGATCATAGAACCCCTACAGTGTGGAAACAGGCCCTTTGGCCCAACAAGTCCATATGGAACCTCAGAGCAACCCACCCAGACTCAGCCTGCATAACCCACCTAATCTACACATCCCTGAACACTACAGGCAATTTAGCATGGCCAATCCACCTAGCCTGCACATCTTTGGACTGTAGGAGGAAACCAGAGCACCCAGAGGAAACCCACACAGACACAGGGAGAATGTGCAAACTCCACACAGACAGTCACCTGAGAGTGGAATCAAACCCAGGTCCCTGGTGCTGTGAGGCAGCAGTGCTAACCACTGAGCTACAATACCACCCCTAGATTTAGCTCCTTGGGGCTGAGTAGAGGGTTTGAACCACACAGTCCCCAGAGAAAGGTCACACATTGGTGTGTTGGCTGTGGACCTATCTTCAGAAGTGAGACATAAACCGGTCTGTTTCTCACCCACAGGATACTGACTGTTCTACTGAATGTTACTCCAGGTCTCTGTTTTCATTCAGGATTTGCACCGCACACTAAAGGTCACGAAAAGACAGAAGTAACACAGAGTAAGACTGAAGCTGTCTTACCAGGCAGTCGAGCTGAGAGACAGGGCTCTTGCTTCCAGGTTGGCTGATGTCCCAGACCTTCACGCACCCTTTCCCTCCCGTGTAAACGTGCCTCATGGGGTTGCTGACAGTAACAGCACACACCACCTCACCGTGATTCAGGTTGTTGATCTGCCGAGCGTGCCGGGGTATCCCTGGTCCAACCAAAGCATCGTGAGGGAAAGGGACAGGCTGCATCTGACTGTCGGCACTGACGTGGAAGGAGTAGGCTCTGGGATCAAAAATCAGGAACTTAGAACAAAGCAAATGAACAAAGTCTATTTCAAACCAGCTCTATCCTTTTTAACAATGTGTGCTTTGTCAGCAATGATACCGGTTTGGTGGATCTCTAAGCCACGGAATCAATAGCATGGGCTGAACAGCCTCCTTCCCAAAGAGTCACAGAGACCAGTGCTGCAAAGAGATAAAGGCCATTCAGCCCTTTGAGTCCATACCAGCTCTCAGTAGAACAACTCAGTCAATTCCATTCCCCAAATCTAACCCCGTAGCCTTGCTGTTTTATTTCCCTCAAGTTTCCATCCAATTTTCTTTTAAATAAGTTATCATCTCCATTTGCACCACCAGGTTTCATCATTGCCAGCTGCACGAAAAGTTTTTCCTCACATACTCTTTGTATTTCTTGTCCAAAACCATGTCCTCCATTCCTTCTATCATCAGCTTAACAGGAATAGATTCTCCTTGTCCATTTTCTCCTGATCTGTCATAACCTTTATACAATTCTATCAAACAAACCTCTCAATCTCCCCGCTCCAAATGGCCAACCCTCAAACTAGCCTGCCAGCTAAATCATATCCGGGACCATTCCAGTAAATCTCTTCCACGTATTCTCCAGGGCCCTCTAGAAGTGTGGTGGCCAGAACTGGCACACAATCGTTTCTAGGCTGTAGATGATTCTATGATTCTACTGAGGTTCCTGATTTGATTCCTAATCTGTGCCGCTGTAGCTTGTCTTAGAATTGTAGGGTCATACAGCATGGAAACTGGCCCTTCGGCCCAACTAGTCCATGCTGACCAGGTTTCCTAAACTGAACTAGTCCCATTTGCCTATGTTTGGCTCATATCCCTCTAAATCTTTCCCATCTAAGTACCTGACCAAATGTCTTTTAAATATTGTAACTGTACTTGCCTCCACCACTTCTTCTGGCAGCTCGTTCCATATACACACCACCCTCTGTGTGAAAAAGTTACCCCAAAGGTCCCTTTTAAATCTTTCCCCTCTCATCTTAAACCTATCCCCAATAGTTTTGGCCTCCCCTACTCTGGGGAAAAGACATTAACTATTCACCTTATCTATGCACCTCATGATTTTATAAATCTCTATAAGGTCACCCCTCAGCCTCCTACACACCAGAGAAAATGGTCCCAAACTATCCAGCCTCTCCTCCAGTCTTGATAACATCCTTATAAATCTTTTTGCACCTTTTCCAGTTTAATAACATCCTTCTTATTGCGGGCAACTAGGATTGTATGCAGCACTCCAAATATGGCCTTACCAATTTCTGGTACAGCTGTAACATGATGTGCCAAATGCCTTCCTCACCACTCTACCTGTGACACCACTTTCAAGGAACTACACAACTGCACCCTTAAGTCTCTCTGTTTGACAACAGTCCACAGGGCTTGACATAACTGTGTAAGTCCTGCCCTGGTTTGTCTTACCAAAATGCGATACCTCTGCATTAAACTCCATTTCTCTGCACAGGCCCAGTCGATCACGATCCCATTGTACTCTTAGATAACCTCCTTCACTGTCTACTATACCACCAATTTTGATGTCTTTGAGTGACACAGTGGAACTACTGTAACAATGGTGCGCCTATGTGAGATAGCTAAGTGTTACAGACAAGCTGCTTATTTCAGACGGCTGTCAGGTGACCCACGCTTTCTGTGGACTTCAATGGAAATGGTTTTGAGACTGGCTGAGTCAGATAGCATGTCAGCAACCTGCCAAGGGTTATCCATGAACAACATTGGTCTCCTGACCTATCTATTACCAGTAAAAGTTCATGGCTCAGTTCCACCCAAATTGCATTGATTTGTCTATGATTTTTCCTGAAGATTCCTTTTTTAATTAACACCCTTAAGCTGGATACAATACAACTGCAATCTGCATGAAACATTGACTTACTATTGAGCATAAAGCAATCAGAATTTGACTCTGTACCAAGAGATTCAGGATTAAAGTCTGAAGTCACAGTGTACGATAGCAGTATCTAATTATGATAGATTACCAACATCAATGAAATAATGAACATTGGCATTTCTATAAATGCATTATTGCACCCATTATTAATAATTACACAGCTCCATTTCAACCTGCTGACACTGTCAATATAACTGGTGAAATATCAGAGCCTTGCCCTTGTCTGATATAACTCCCAGTTATGCACATTGGCTTTTTGAAGCAAGGACACTTTGCTCATTAATACTCTTAACAGAAATATGAAGTGACCTCGGTAAGATAAACATAGGGCAGTGGTTCAGTGAAAATGAGTATTGAGGATGAAAAGGAAACAAAGGTTACACCAAGAGAGTGAGAGAAGGCTTGTGTGGACCATAAAGTCTGGCATGGACCAGTTAGGCTGAACAGAATACAATAATGGCACAAACTCTACGCAAGAATTAAGGCCAGAGACATTTTAAATCGGCGAAAAATGATTTTTTAATGAGATGTTCAGAAGAACTCAAAGAATGAGAAACTTACTAAGTGAGGGAGTAAAGAAGAAACATGATGTGGGATATGAAATGTAAAGTTGAATGATACAATGTGTTTTGTGACCACTCAGATCCTTTTGTGTCCTTATATTTTTAATGTAAATCACACACCCAGAGACTGTACCATTAGCTTATCATTTCAAGCTTGTTTTCAGCCAATAGCTGCTCTGTTTTGTGGGGTGTGTGCTTATGTTCAGACAAAAACAGAAATTTTCAGGTAGGAGCTAAATGAGCCACCTGAAAGGAACGTGACCGGCAGCTTTTCCAATCTAAGTTGGACTGTGGCTGGGTTTGATGCCCACTACAATACAACATGGCTGACCCAGGAGCCAGTCTTAATATTGTTGCTAAGCTAACAGTATGGGAATTGGTAGGTCTATGTCTACATATGTGTGTGTGTGTGTATCTGTGTGTATGTGTGTGTGTGCGTGTGTCTGTTTGTGTGTGTCTGTGTGTATGTGTGCATGTCTGTTTGTGTGTACGTTTGTGCGCGTGTCTCTGTGTGTGTGTGTGTGTATTTGTGTGTGTGTGTGTGTGTGTGTGTGCATGTTTGTGTGTATGTGAATGTTTGTGTGTGTGCATGTTTGTGTGTATGTGTATGTTTGTGTGTGTGTGCTGTGTCTGTGTCTCTGTGTGTGTGTGTGTGTGTGTGTGTGTCTATGTGTGTATGTCTATGTGTGTGTGTGTGTGTGTGTGTGTATGTCTATGTGTGTGTGTGTGTGTGTGTGTATGTATGTCTATGTGTGTGTGTGTGTGTGTGTGTGTGTGTCTGTGTGTGTGTGTGTGTGTGTGTGTGTGTGCGCGCGCGCTTGACCCAGATTAAAAGTTGGCATCAAACCCAAATACTCCAGTGTTATATTTGGTTGTCATTCCAGGGTTAATAATGGTCTTGGATGAAGCGTATATCCTAATTTACCTCAATGCAGCTCTTGTGGTGCAGTGGTAGTATCCCTATCTCTGAGCCAGGAAGCCTGGGTTCAAGTCCTACCTGCTCTAGTGGTGTGAAATAACATCTCTACACAAGTTGATTAGACAGCATTCTTTGTCTGGTCACAAAATTGGGCAGTCCCATGAATAATAAAAAAAAGAATATTATGCCTGAACACCCCTGCTGGGTGTTTCCTCCATCCCATCCCCTCACCATCCTCCATCCCAGAAATCCTCGCAACTACCGAGCTGATCACTCTTGGCTGGCTTCTGGCCCTCAGCCCTTTCCTCGACTCTCCCAGCACAACATGTATATTCTATGCAAGGGCGCCACTGAAATCTAGCACAACAGCCAACACCACTGGCTGACTGTGCACCAAAGGGGAGGTTAACTCATTCCTTCACAGGCTTGATCAGGAAGGCTAGGCTAGGAACTAAAGGATTGGCCCTGGAGGCAGCACGGTGGCTCAGTGGTTAGCACTGTTGCCTGACAGCGCCGCAGACCGGGTTCGATTCCAGCCTCAGGTGACTGTCTGCATAGAGTTTGCACATTCTCCCTGTGTCTGCATGCATTTCCATCCAGTGCTCTGATTTTCTCCCACATTTCAAAAATGTGTAGGTTAAGTTGATTAGCCATACTAAATTGCCCCATAGTGCCCAGGGATGTGCAGTTTAGGTGTGCTAGCCATGGTAATGTGCAGAATTACAGGGATACAATAGGAATTGGGTCTAGGTGGGATGTTCTTTGGAGGGTTGGTGCGGGCTGGATGGGCCAAATGGTCTCTTTCTGCACTATAGGGATTCTATTCTATGATTCTAAGTCCTCAACTGAAGGTTCAAATGAAAGAAGAAAAAGAGTCAGTGCAGCTCTACTAAGTGACTATAAAAACAAGTTTCACAAAACCATAGGGACACAGGTCACATGGGGGGGCTGCTCTAGATTGAGAAAGGCAAATTGTCAGAATACAGGCCTCAAATGGAACCTAACAGCTAGAGAGAGAGAAAAAATAATAAAGATTTTGAAAGAAGGGTTGCGACTTGAGTTCCAAAAAGTCAAGGGTTTTAGTTTCCTCCGCGCAGTCAGTAAGTGACTCTGTAACAAAACTCACGGTTTTCCCCCAGGAATGGTGGGCAGGCTAGGAGGAAGTCCTGAAGCACGCATATGAGGATGTGACTCAAAGGCAACCTGAAAACACAGAAATCATTTGTGTCAGCTGTGGTTGAGATTGCCACGCATATTAAACCTGCTGGAATGTGGTGCAGACTGCACGAAGAGGTCAGCAAAAGGGTAAACACTCTGCAATTCCCTCAACTGTGACACTGGAAGCCCCAGTGCTAGTCTCCCCACTTATCACATCATCTATGGATATACGTCAATACAGTAATTTGGGAGCAGTTAACATTCTATTGTCACACTGGGTGTTGGTTTGGGAGGCAAAACAAGTTAGTTGTGCAGTGTTCTGATGTGGGTAACCGATAGATTAAGTAGACAGCTACATTAACTTTTTACCTTTGACACCTACTGGTGAATCTAGCTGTGACTGAAACGATGAAAACTTGTGTCTGCTTGAAAGCAACATTTTTTCATCCCATTTCATAGTGGGTGTAATCATAACTGGATTTGGCACTTGCAGGCATAAGGTTAGCATTTTTGCCCTCAAAATAATTAAGGATGTTGGGAGTGGATGACTTCACAGTTGTGCAGCAGTGGGCTGCTCTGCTGAGGTTGGGACTGAGCATAAAGGCTCTCTATGTAGATGGCTGCAAGATACCAAGGGCAGTTTTCACGTAAGTCATAGGAAACTTGTTTACCCCTCAGCCATGCAGCTCTGAAACCATCTCTTAAGGGACCTGCTCACCTCGACGGTTAAATGAGGTACGCTGCACTTAGATCCATGAGCTCAAAAACAGCAGGCTCCCCCTCGACAGGAAATTAACAGACAATAGGCAAGTTTGAAGTGATTGATCAGGTGAAATTGACTGTCAAAATGCACTTGTGCCAGTTTCTGGAGCTTGAAGCTAAGTCAGCACTTATCTTCTCTGTGGCCTCCTCCCTGCCCTTTTCAATCACAATCTTCTCCTTTAGTCTTCCAACTCGCTACCTCCCCCTAACCTTCCCCCTGAAATGACCTAAGAAGCCACCCAGTTTAAGGGCAATTAGAGACAGGCAATAAATGCTTGCCCAAGCAGTGGTGACCGCATCTCATGAAAATAATTTTTAAGAAGTTTGTAAGTTAATGATTAGCAAGTTATTAAAAGTCATTGTTACTTAGAGTTAGCAAGAGGATTTGGGGCCATTTAATAGCAGTGATCTAGTCATTCTGCTGCAGGTTGTTTTGTAAAATTATTAAAGCAATTCAAGACCTTAAAACAAAAGCATTGGGGGCACTTCTAGAGGTTTAGTGAAAAGTTTTGGATTCCTAATCAAGAACATCAAATAATAATGTGAAGTTTCTTGAGAGTTATCTCATGGGACGTTTAAAAGTGCACATTTTTAAACACTACCTCTCCCTAGTTCATTTTCTTTTGCATTGTGTGAAATGGTTTACTTTAAAAACAGTTTATTACTTCACAGGTCATTGCTTTTAAACTTTCAAAACAACTGTAGATGGAATAAATGCCACTACTTCCTCAAATACGGCCTCAACAGGTACTATCCCTCACAAGGGTCCATTTGCTCTTCACCACAAAGTTTGCTGCCTCACTTCCCAAATATAGTTTCCCCTTTCAATATTCTCTTAATTGACTGAAATATTGTGACTCTCTGACCTCCAACTTCGAAATCACTACAGCCAATTTCTGTCCAAAATCACAGAGGCAATTTACTTCTGCCTGATGTTATTTGTTGATGTAAAGAATTGAGCTATTTTCTTCACTGGTCACAGCACTTTTAAAACACTCAAAAGACTGAGAAAAATAACAGCTACATTTTCCACAATTTCTAACAATTCAAAAGGCAAGCTTCCTTCACTCTCTATTTTGAGCTTGTTGAATTGAAACAAAAGATCGTTGTTTTGCTCCAACTCTGGCAATTCAACTTTTCTTCTGTCAGATGACTAATGCACAAGCTACAATATGAAAACACTCCAGGGTCTGGTAGTAGAATGGTTATGGTTCTGAATTTAAAATCTAGAGGTCACAGGCTCAAATGCGGTGGTAATTTTAATTTTGAATTCAATAATTCTCATCATTTGAGGGCCATCATGTTACAATATGGTTGGACATGGTATTTATTCTTCTTTTATGCTCTCAAGGACCTTTTAAAAATATATATAAGACCATAAGGCATAGGAACAGATGCAGGCCATACAGCCCATTGAATCTACTCTGCCATTCAATGAGATCATGGCAGATCTGAAAATCATCAACTCCACTTTCTTGCTTTTACCAAATAACTCGATTCCCTTACTGTTAAAAATCGATCTCAACCTTGAACATATCTAATGATCCACCCTCAGCAACCCTCTGAGGTAAAGAATTCCACAGATTCACTTCCCCCAGAGAAAAGAATTTCATCCTCACCTCTGTCTTAAATGTGTGACCCCCTTATTCTGAGATTGTGCCTCTGGTCCTACACTGTCCTATAAGATAGGTGTTTTTCTTTTGTTGCTACTGGTGCCACACACTTTGATATTGGAGATCATTACGCAATTCATTTAGTATGTAGATGGCAAATAATTAGAGGAAACCCATGAGCAAATGCTGGTGTTATGCTCCACCCAATGTTTTTCTCCATTAACCTCAACGTGGTGTAAAATCAGGTCAGACAATGAACAGAAGAAACCTGATTTCAACAGCTTTCCAGTGAGCCAATTAAGCTCAAGAGGCCAAATAGTTTCAATATTGACTATGGAGGAGAAAAGGCTCACGAACATTTTTAATCCCCAAGTCATGACACCACTCCACAAAATGCATCTGAAAATACTAAACAGGGCAGACTCAACTTTTCATCATCTAGGCAAGATCGGGAACTCTGTAGGAGCAAAACTTAAATCTGGGGAGGTGATGACCCAGTAGTATTGTTGCTGGACTATTAATCCAAAGACCTGTGTAATGTTCTGGAGACCTGCGTTCAAATCCTGCCACAGCAGCTGATGATATTTAAATTCAACGAAAACCTGGAAATAAGAGGCCATAAATCCAAACCCACCTGGTTCACTGGTGCCTTTTTGGGGATGGAAATTGCCATCCTTACCTAGTCTGGCTTACATGTGACTCTAGACCCACAGCAATGTAGCTGACTCTTAACTGCCCTCTGGGCAATTAGGGATGGGCAATAAATGTTGACCTAGCAGTGACGTCCTCATCCCATGAATGAATAAAAAAAAATTTCGAGCTTCTCTCTCTTTCTGAAGTTGCATGCCCACTAAGAAGTGAATTGAAACTACCCATAGGATATTGAACAGCCACTAACAGTGAGAAAGCTTCCTGGCTGACATTCAAATGCAGCCTCTTCATGTCTAGGGACAGTGTTGAAAATTACTGCACCATTATCTATTTAGGAAATTTGTCACTCACTAGCCAGAGGTTATTTTAGAATAAAGTTAACAACTGGCTGTTTAACACAGCTTGTTTGTATACTACTTAACCTCCTTAACAACATGCTACATAAAGGTAAAGTCATCACAATCTTACCAGCACATAGGGCTGCTCTCTCACTAGAGAGAGAGGTGACTGGCAGTGCTCTGCCTCAGTTGAGGAGAGAAGTTGAGCAGGACAGTCCTTCAATGGTAACCTCAGCTGGTGTGAGAATTGAACCCATGCTGTTCACATCATTCTCCATCACAAACCAGCCAAATGAACTAACCGACCCCCTGATTGCTATAAAAAGAGATGGCAGCCAAGGGTTCCTGCACTGACTCCTAAAATGAGGGGATTATCCCATGACAGAGATTCTCTTGATTTGGTCTCTATTCCCTAGGTTTCAAAGTATAAGATGTAATCTCATTAAAACATATAAAGCTGTTAAGGGGGTTGAGAGGACAGATGGCTGGGAAGCTATTATTCCAGGTTGGAGAGTCTAGAACTAATGGTCAGAATAAAGGATCCATCAGAAATTTCTTAATTCAAAGGGCTGCGAAACTTCAACATTCTCTATCCCAGAGTGCTACAGGTAATGAATAGTTGAGTACATTCAGACAGAGATCGACAGATTTTTGGACTTTAAAGGGATCCAGGGAAATGAAGATAATACAGGATGGTGTAGCTGAGGGAGATCAGCCACGATGTTATTGAACAATGGAGCTACTCCTGCTCCTACTTGATATGTTCTCACCCAATGTCTTAGTAGACCATCTTGTGCTTTATATTATCAGGGGATAATACAATACAGAACAACCTAGTTATATCAGGTTCAGAGGGGAAAGAAGACAGGAAATAATAGAAGCAAACAGACAGGCAGTTAATGGAAAAGGGAATCCCTGTGTGTGTGTGTGCATGACACTGGCTCATGAACTACACTTTGGTGAAGATATGAAGGCATCAGAAAAGTGCAGAAATGGTTCATGAGAATGGGTCACAAATAGATGGAAGAAGTTGAGACTGTTTCCCTTGGAGAAGAGCAGATTGAGAAGAGATTTGATGGAGGTGTTCAAAATCATGAAAACTCTCGTCGAAGTAGATAGGAAATAAATAAACCATTCACACCAGTGGGAGGATTGAAAAAGAGAGGGCACATATTTGAGATACAGGAGAAAGAAAACAATGGAGACATGAGGAGAAACTTTTTCACACAGTGACAGATCGCAATCTGGACTGTGGTGCCTGATATTGCGACGAAGTCAGGGTCAATTGAGGCAGTCAAGAGGGAATTGGATTAGTGTCTGTGAAGGGAGAACGTGGATGGTTCTGGGGAAAATACAGGGAAGTGGCACTAAGTGCCATGCTCAGCCAAACAGCTAGAACATGCACAGTGGGCTGAATGGCCTCCACAACAATTCTGTAACAAGTCAGTGATTCTGTGAAAATCTTGGTCAGAAAGGATAATTCACAAAACAAAGCATTTAATCAACTTTCTGTAGAGTCTGCAGACATGATAGTAAGAGAGATGCAGGTTTACTGTGGCTTAATTTAAACTCTAATCATTCTTATGCACCTACAGTATCCGCTGCAGAGCTCTGTGGCTGTGCTGTAGAATGACAGTGAGGTACAACACTGTGCCACATGTGGCACCGGCCAGGAGCACAAACAGGGGAAACTATATTATTATCACAGGCTGTATATGTGTGTGCAAATTCTGCTGATATGGTCCTGCCAACGTACATCAGAGGCTCTGTTGGTGAAGGTTTCCCCAACTCGCAGTTCTTGGACAAGTTGCAAAGCTGCTACTTCTGACACAAGGCAGCAGTATAAGATAAAACAACTAAGCTTAGGAACTGCCTCATCATTGCAACTCTGCCAGGAGTCATGAAAAGGAAAGTATGAGAGGGGTATGAGCCCTAACGCAGGCAAATGGGACCAGTGTCATTTGGGAAACCTGGTCAGTATGGGTGAGTTGGACCAAAAATGCAGTTTCCATGCTGTATGACGCTATGAGTCTAGCAGAAATGCCTTTTTAGTTTTGTTAGAATGGGAACTGCATGTGAAGAGATTCCCAATCTCACAGTCCTTTGATCCCCCGTGTTGATGGATGAGCTAGCCCATTGAAAGCAACAGGCTACTGAATTAGCAAAGGAAGCTATTTCAGATGAACTTGCTGAGAGTTTATATTTTACTGCCAGTTTAGCTCCAAGCCGGTCTGACTTGGAAATATGCATCACCGTTCTTTCAGTGTCGCTGGGTCAAAATCCTGGAGTTCCTCCCTTAACATCATTGTGGGTCTACCCACAGCAGGTTGACTGCAGTATTCCAGAAAGGCAGCTCACCACCACCTTCTCAAAGGCAACTAGGGACAGGCAATAAATGCTGGCCCAGCCAGAGACACCCACCTCTCTACAAAAGAAAAGTCAATTGAAAAATACTGTTCTGCAGCAGCTTCTCCAAGATATTGTGTTTATGACTTTGCTGGGTTTAGGAATTCTCTACAAATGTATTTAATATGTTACAAGACAAAGCAGATGAAGGCAGCCTCTCACCCTGTCTCATCGGACCTATTATTTTACTTGCTGGCTATAAACAAATGCCTTTTTGTTATACCTACCTGCAGATGGTGAAACAGACCCTGCGTTTTCTTTTTATAGTCACAATGCAACAGTCACTCAGCCTTCAATTGACATTATGCCGTTTACTGGCCTTGTTGCAATAAAACTAACATTGTCAGGTATATTTGGAAACAAATATATGTCAAACAGCTAGCTCGAGATTCAATGTGAGCTCACATAAGCTGTTATTCTTGAGCTTTCTGTTACAATTTATATGCTCTCGCTGACACTACCATTCCATTATTCACTCCCCTTTCTTTGGGAGAGCCAGTCCTACGCTGGCAAAGAACGTACTGCAATTAAGCAATGACAAGGGGGTGTACAATTTTAGTAACAAAAAAAAAGTGCTAGGACATAGGCAAATTATGTGTGACTGGATCCCCAGGATGGTTGCCAATCTGACCTTAAGAACTGAAAATTCTCAGCTGATCAGGTAGCATTTGCAGACAGAGAAGCAGAGCTAACATTTCAGGTCACAGACCTGCGTGAAATTCTGCTGCTTCATTAAATACATCAGTAGTTTTCAAACAAATACCTTGATCGCCATTTTTTTTTGGGGTGGGGCTGGGCTGCGGGGGTGCAGAAGGAACTTGATACAAAGAGATTTAAGAATAATGTCCTACAATTTCACCAAACAGCTGCTCAACTCTTTGCACAGATGTTATTTCTGAAAGGATCACGGGGACAATCACATTTTTTCATTACTTCACATCAAGACATAAAGCAGAAAAAATAACTCAAAAAACTGCAAATGCTGGAAAGCAGAAACAAATAAAAAAGAAACAGCTGGAGAAATTCAGAATGACTGGCAGCATCTGTGGAGAGAAAGCAGAGTTAACGTTTTGGGTCCAGTGACCCCACTTCAGACGTAAGCACAGATTTTAACCTCACCATTGGTGAGCGGCCATACACTGCTGCAGTACTCATTTGTGGCGAGATGTGGAGACTTGCGTAGGCCCCTGGGCTGGGCAACTCCCCGTTTATTCCTGCATGTGCCATCATCCCAAATGGTGTGGAGTAGGGGCCCGGTACAGTCAATGGGCTCCGCAGACCTTAGGGATGAAAAATACAAAAGGTAACAATTTCCAGATACTGGCTAATGTGCAGGCTGTACATCCACCTAAAGACACACATACAATCACTGAAGAAATACTAGCACTGATACACACACACACACACACACACACACACACACACACACAAAGAACCACT